CCCAGTCCATGCTTTTTATGGGTACATTTGTGACATGAAAACCAGAAGAAGCCAAAGATCTCCAAAGTGCAACACTCTGTATCCAAAATGGATCAGTTAGATACTTTCTGGAAATTCATATGACACAGTAAATGCCTCTGTTTTCTCTAGTCTGCTGATGAATTCTGCTTCTAAATAAGGTGGTTTCAATTTTGGCTGTTCTAGTAAATAACTATTGATAGGTTTCTATTCCTCATGGATCAGTTTCATTTTGTTTAATCCATGCAAGACAGTAGCCATTGCAACATACTTTGAGGATTAATTCCACACGTTGTTCATGTAGCACACAAAGAAGTGGTGCTGAAGACCATTTGTCAGATCATTCTTCAGTATGCCCACCTTGCTAATTTGTAAACAATTTTGGTTTTACAATTGTTGTTGCTGTGTGCCCCCAAGTTGCTTAAGGCAAACGTATCACAGGGTTTTCTTGGCAAGTTTCATCAGAGGGATTTGCCATTGCCATCCTCTGAAGCTGACAGATTGTGACTTGCTCAAGGTCAACCAGTAGGTTTCCATGACCTAGTGGGAGTCGAACCTTGGTCTCCAAAGTTTGTAGTCTAGTGGTGAAACCACTACACTGGCTCCTCTGATACAAGATGGTTAAATGTAAGTGAAGGCAGGGCTCGTGAATGTTTAATATTTTTATTAATTAAATGTACATAGTGTAATATTCAAACCATTATAGCATGCTGGGACCCTTTAGCGCTGCTTCCTTGCTATGATATTTTACTTCAGCCTCAACAGTTAGCTGGTATTAGAATCCACAAAGACACAACAGAGAGCCAAGTATAGTAGTTTGAGTATTAAACTACTCAGTTGTGGTGTAGTAGTTTAAATATAAGACTTGGACTCAGGTTTGAATCCCTGCTCGGCCATGAAAACCCACTGGTTACCTTGGGCGTCACATTCTCTCAGCCTTAGAGGAAGGCAAAGGCAAACCCTTTTTGAACTAATCTTGACAAGAAAACCCCATATTACAGTTGCCTTAACAACGTGAAAGCACACAACAACAAAGGCATAATCATTTTGCACAGTATTAAAGGCTGCCATCATCTAGCACAGAATCTTGTGGCATATACTGCAGGAGATCCTGTCTACCCTTAAACAACACATATTAACTCTCATTATTTTGGACAAGATGTTTCTACAATAAGCCTGTGTGCCTTCCCATGGCCTCAACCCCCAACCAAGCCCCATTCTTGTGTGCCCCAAGTTGCCCCAAAACCGTAGAAAGGAATGAACAACATTCAGGAGAGCAGGGTAGGAAAGCAGGGAACGAAATCCAAGTGCAGCTGGAACTTTAAGAGAAAAACAGCTGCTTTTGGGATTCCGTTGCCCACTATCAAACCATCAGTGGAAGTTGGTCTGTAGTCAATATTGGAGAGGTACCAAAGCCTGGCATCAGAGGCAGCTTTGTCCTTGCATCGCCAGAGAGATTCTGGGAAGGAGAAAGAGAGAGAAAGAGCATGAAGATCATTCCAAAAGCAGTTACACCTTCCGCACAGCAGAGATGCCAAAAGTCCTGTAAGGAGAGAAAGCACAGCCAGAGTCAACAAATCTTTCTACAGACTCTTCAGCAAATGGAGTGAACCACTTTGGGCAGAGCATGGCATAGAAAAGGGACATATGTACCAACTAACTAAACCAATTAATGAATTAGCATCTCTCCAAAACTGCCTCTGTGGGGGCATCCACACTGCACAATTACAGCGATTTGATACCACTTTAACTGTCATTGCGCCATCCTATGGAAAGCTCAGATTTGTAGTTTAGTAAAGTGCTGAGAATTCTCTAGTAAAAGACTACTTGAATAGCATGGGGCAATGGCAATTAAAGTGGTATCAAAGTGCTGTACTGTGTAGTATGACTATACCCTGTGTTCATATTGCTGCTATAATACTGACTCTGTACTGAATGCTGTCTTCCAAAGTTATAGTAGTTTGAGTGTTGGACTAAGACTCTGAGAGACAAAGGTTTGAATCCTCACTTGGCCATGGAAACCTACTGGACAGGTCACACTCTCTCACTCCAGGAGGAAAACAATGGCAAACCCACTCTGAACAAATCTGGCCAAGAAATCCCATGATAGGTTTCACTTTAGGATCACAATGATTCAGTAACTATTTGAAGACATCAGCAACAACAAAGTAATATATATATATGTGACTAGTGACCTTTTTTTTTAAACAGCATAGACAGTTCAACACCTTTAACTGGAAGAGACATCTTGACCCTGAGTTATCTACACAGGAGTCAATTTCACTAAAAATGGAAGCCACAGCAATCCAGTTTAACTGTAGTGTATTTATTACAGTGTCAGACTAGAGCAGGGGTAAGCAACCTAAGGCCCGGGGGCCGGATGCAGCCGCCCGAGGCCTTTGGACCAGCCCCAGGCCGGTCCTGCTGCCGCTGCCGCCCGCCATGATGATATTATTGTTGTTATTACTTGTTCTTGGGGTTTTCTTGGCAAAAACTCCACAGGGGTTTTGCCGTGGTTTTTCTGGGGCTGAGAGAGTGTGCATGCATATTTTTTATTTATTTTTATTTTATTTATTTATTTATTTATTTATGGTGCTTCGGCCCCCCAATTGTCTGAGGGACAGCAACCCAGCCCCCGGCTCAAAAAGGTTGCCTACCCCTGGACTAGAGAATTGGGGCAGACCTAAATTCAAATTTCAGAGACTGTGTGAATCTCATTAAGTGGCCATGGACCTTTACCATCTTTCAATCCAAGCTACTTTACAGGGTTGTTGGAAAGAGGACTGGGGACAAGACAGAAACAAGAGTGAACACTGCTTTGAGCTTCTTGGAATATAAATGTACTTGATAAAACAAAGTGTTTTACATTCACTGGACAGGTTGGTAAAGGAGACATGAGGGCATTTTAATAATGATGATAAGACAGCCTTAGAAATGGTTATTGTTGCTGCTATTGTGTGCCTTAAAGTCATTTCCAACTTATGCAGACCCTAAGGTAAACATATCAGTTTTTTGGGGCAAGTTTCTTCAGAAGAGGGATTGCGCCCATCCTCTGAGGCTGAGAGCATGTGACTTGCCCAAGATTACTAGGTGCATTTACATGGCTGAGCGGTGATTCGAACCCTGTTCTCCAGAGTCACAGTTCAATGCTCAGACCACTACACCATGCTGTCTCTCTTTGGAAGTGATTGTTCACTTGTAAAAGATAAAGAAAGCCCTTTTGCAATTGAACCTTCATGCCAAACTGAGGTGGTTTTTTAACATTTGAGTTATGTGTTGCTGTTATGTGCCTCCAAGACAACTCTGACTTAGGGTGACCCTATTAGCAGGACTTATTCAGAGGAGGCTAGCCATTGCCTTTTTCTGAAGCTGAGAGAATAGGACTTGCCCAAGGTTGCCCTTGTCTCCAACACTGAAACCACTACAACACAGTGAGTTATAGAAACAGAGAAATGCCCCCACGGAGACGTACAAACACGACTGAAGCACACCCTGTTTCAACATCTCTTGCGCAAACAGCCTGGCTGGTAACCTTCCTTGGCAAACAAGACATCGTCTTCTCCCTTGCCATACCCTACCCACCCTTGGCACTGGAGTCCCTTTCTTCCTCCACCTTCACCCCAGTCTCCAGGTCCTTGGTGGGCACACTAGACAGTGGCAGAGGATCCTTTTCTATGTCCTTGATCTTGGCATCTGAGTCCCTCCCCGTATTATTAAGATCCTCCTGGGGTGCAGCCAGGTTGTCACCAGGATTTGCCAGGCTCAGGTTTCTGAAGTCCCTCTCTCATCACCCTCTCCTTTGCAGCAGAGCAGATGGGTGCATTGTGTTCTGTGCCAGGAAATAAGAGGAGAGGAGCACTAAAGGGAAAAGACTCCCAAGGAAGAAAGAAAGAAAAGGGTGGGGAAGAGGGAAGGACCTTCACACCTGAGGGACGTGTGGATTTTTAATTCAACCTGATCCTGTAGGACAAGTAATATGTGAGGGTGGAGGGATTACTGTTCATGCAGAAAATACTGTTTTTTAAAAAAAAACTTTAAAAGAGAATTCACCCATTCATATAATAAGCTACCTTGTGTGTTGTGTGGCTTCAAGTTGTTTCCAACTTATGGCAACCCTAAGGCAAACTTATCACAGGATTTTCCTGGCAAGTTTCCTCAGGGGAGGTTTGTTATTGCCATCCTCTGAGGCTGAGAGTGTGTGACTCACCCACGGTCACCCAGTGGGTTTTCATGGCCAAGTGTGGATTCAAATCCTGCTCTGCAAAGTCATAGTCCAATGTTCTATGGCTCACATAAGTCACCCTCTCTCCTCTTTATTCTTCTACACTGCACTATACAACCTAGCCAGTATTCCCACCTCTGCATTACTGCTTTAAGCAGTAAATGGACTGACACAAAGACTGACTCCCTTCCCATCCATTCCTGCAGGCTGGTGACATGGCATTCACATGGTCCTTATTTTAGATGTGTGTGTGGTCTTTATTTGTGTGTGTGTGTATGTGTGTGTGTTACATTTATATCCTGCCAGAGCGAAGTGCTCCCCACTTCATTCTCACAACAACCCTTTGAGGTTGATCAGGCTAAGGGAAAAAAGGAGGGAGGGAGAGTGAAGGTCACCCAGTGAGTGATCTTAGTGGGAACTAGAACCTGGATCTCCCAAATCCCACTCAAATACTCCAACCACCACATCACATTAATGACAGGTTAATTCCAAACAATAGGTGAAATTCACACAACTACAATGCCAGCTTTTAAGTCACAATGCTCCAGTGACAGTGGAAGCCACAATGGGCAGAATTCGCCTTTTATCTAGCCCTGAAAGGACAGCAAGCCTGCACTGGACTTAGACTAGACCTGGATGGAAACTGTGCTACCCTCCAGGTCCCAGCTGCCTTATCTAGCCTAGAGAAATGATGGAAGCTACAGTTCCACAACACACAATTCTCACCCCTGCTTTAGTTAGCTAATCCTTTGCCAGAGGAACCAATGTGACATAATGGTTTGAGCGTTGGACTGTGACTCTGGAGACCAGGGTTCGATTCCCAGCTCGGCCATAAAACCCACTAGTTGACTTTGGGCAAGTCACACACTCTCAGCCTCAGGGGAAGGCAATGGCAAACCTCCTTGGAACAAATCTTGCCAAGAAAACCCCATGATAGTGGGCCTTTGCAGACTGCTAGAAATAGTGCAAATTGAGTCCACTTTAACTGCCCTGGCTCAGTGCTAGGGAATCATGGGAATTGATTTTTTTCTGAGACATTGAGCCTTCTCTGTCAGAGAGCTTTGGTGCCACAATAAACTACAGTTCCCATGATTCCCTAGCACTGAGTCAGGGCAGTTAAAGTGGACTCAATTTGCACTACTTCTGGTAGTCTGAAAAGGCCCAGTGTCACCTTAGGGTTGCCATAAGGTGGAAGCAATTTGAAGGCACACAACAACAACAATTCTTTGCCTCCAGCTCCAAGTCCTCAGCTTTCTAATACCACCTGCCTGCCTGCCATGGCAGTTCGAGTAGAATCATAGTGCTATAATTGCATAATGTGAATGGGACCCCAGTCTGATTTTGCACCTTAAGCAGGGTTGAACCTAGAAGGAAGACCAGTGGTGAATACTAGAGGCTTTTAGGTAGGCTTAGGAAAAAAACCCTGCTTGAAACCCTGCAGAACCATTGCTGCCAGTCAGAGCTGATAATAACTCTGAGACAAATGGCTCAATGAACTGACAAATGTGTTGGTTTGGGCTTCATATAATGGAAAAATAATCCAGTCCTGCATATACAATAGAAATAAACTTTCCTAGACTTGTTCTACTTCTTTAGATTCAAACACATCCAAACAATGATACTTTTATTGGGCCAACCAAATGCACAACTATATAATAATGCCTGATGGAGAAGCCAGTGTGACTTCGAAAGCTTGCAACATGTAGTGTGCATTTTGGTTGGCCCAATAAAGGTATCATTGTTTGGATGTTTTTGGATTTGCTGTATGGCCAGCTACCCCTAGATGTTACTTTCTTAGATGCATCCCTCCATGCAAATCTGAGGAAGCAGGCCAAGTCTACAAAAGCTTATGCTATAACTTCTACACAATTAGTCTCAAAGGTGTTACAAGATCTCTTTGCATACTGCTGTTCCAGGCTAACATGGCAATGTCTCTGAATTCAGTCCTACCTAATCACACCTGGAAGATACGCACAGAAAAACCACAATGTATCCCCCCCCCAGCATAAAAAGCCCATTGTGATTCTACTTGCAAATTACAGCTAAACTTGTTTTTGTTTGCTTTTAAGTCAACCCCGACTTATAATGACCCTTTCCTAGGGCTTTCTTGGCAAGGTTTATTCAGAGGTTTGCCCTTGCCCTCCTCTGAGGCTGCGAGAGTAGGACTTGTCTAGTGCCAGCCAGTGAGTTTCCATGGCTGAGCAGGGATTTGAACCCTGGTCTCCTGGAGCCCTAAGTCCAACACTTAAAACACCTTACCATGCTGGCTCTCTAAAGTTTGTTGTAATGTGCCTTCAGTCAACTCCAGCTTATAGAAACCCTCTCAGGATTTTCTTGGCAAGATTATATTTAGAAGTGGTTTTCCATTGCCTTTCTTTATTATTATTGTTGTTGTTGTTCTTGTTACAGTGGGCTCTTGTTATCCGCTGGGGTTTGGTTCCTGTGGCTAACAAAATCCGTGGATGCTAGCATCCCATTAAATACAATGGCATAGTAAAATGGTGTCCCTTATATAAAATGGAAAATCAAGTTTGCTATTTGGAATTTATATTTTGTTGGAATATTTTCAAGCTGTGGATGCTTGAATCTGTGGAAAAGGAGAGCCGACTGTATTATTTTCTTACCCAACTCTTCTCAAGACTCAACACAAGGTACATAGATAAAAACACAATATATAACTAAAGACACGTAACCATTTAAAAAGATAGGTTAAAAACACACAAACATAGGATTAAGATAACCATCACACATTAAAATCATCCAGACATAAAATTAAAAATATAACCATGTAAAATTAATAGTTTTAAATCAACTGGGTAGGCTTGCCGAAAGAGGTAGGTCTTTAATACAGTTTTACATTCCCTACGGCTGAAGGGTGTGACTTGCCCAAGGTAACCCAGATGGTTTCCATGGCTGAGGGAAGATTTGAACCTGGGTCTCCCAAAATCCTAGTCCTATACTCAAACCACAACACCATGCTAGTTAAACAGCAAGGATTTCTTAGTGCTAGGAGTGTTCTCCTCCTAGAAACATCCCCAGAGGCAGAAATAGCCATTTCCTGGAATTTCCATCTCAAGACTGTGTTCTCACCCCACTTTCAGCCGCTCTTCAAACTTCTCCAAAGTTTCTAACAAAAAAAGTTGGGTAGGCTGCATGAAAGCTTGAAAGAGAAAAGAGAGAGAAAGTTCATCATCAGCACAGCTGGTTTCCAATCTCACCCCCAATTTCCTCTTTCTGAACCCCTACAAACAATTTGCACACGTTCCTCAAGATCACAACCCATACATTCAACTTGTAGTCTGCTGTTAGGCTGGATCAAGGCCAGAAGTGGCATGCTGGGTGGGAGAATTTTGGAGCTGTAGTCCGAAAATGTAACTTTTCCAGGCTCCACTCCAGATTTGGATGTCACTCAGCATAAATCCATTGAAATCAAACAAGCTGGAGTTTATTGCAATTAGTTGAAGTCCAACTGATTTAGATAGGTTTGCTCCAAGTATGACTAAAGTCTAATCTGCACTGCAGAAATAATGCAGTTTTAGCTTTCATGGTTCTACCCTATGGAATCCTGAGATTTGTAGCTTGTTGTTGCGCCAGAGCTCTCTGACAGAGAAGACTAAATATCTCACAAAACTACAAATCCCAGAATTCTGTAGCATCGAGCCATGGCAGTTAAAGCAATGTCAAACTGCATTATTTCTGCAGTGCAGATCAGACCTAAATTTGGATCCAACCCATTGTTCTTAAAATCACAGTCCCATTCCTGTTTACATTTTTGGTACAGATTTATATTGTTGTGCACCGTCCAAATTATTTCTGATTTAGAGTGAGCCTTAGGCTATCACAGGGTTTTCTTGGCAAGATTTGTTCAGAGAGGGTTTACCATTGCCATCCTCTGGGGCTGAAAGAGTGTGACTTGCTCAAGGTCACGCAGTGGGTTTCCATGGCCAACTGGGAATTCGAACCCTGGTCTCCAAAGTTTGTAGTCTAGTAGTGAAACCACTACACCACTCTGGCTTATTTGATACAAGATGTTTAAATGTAAGTGAAGGTAGGGCTCGTGAATGTTTAATATTTTTATTAATTGAATTTATATCCCATCTTTGCTTCAACAGTTGTATGCAAATCCTTTCGTTCCTATCTTCACTGTGAGGTAGGTCAGGCTTAGAGAGAGAAAGAGAGAAACTAGTCCGAGATCACCAAGTGAGTTTCATAACTGAGCAAGGACCTGAACCTAGATCTCCCAAGTCCTATTTAAAACTCTAACCACTACACCACACAGTCACCAAAGTTACACCTGCTGAAATCAAAGGTACAGGAGCCCTCTCCTCTTTTACAATTGTTCTTCCAAAGCAATGATGTCTTGAAAAACAGGTTGAAAACAATGAGACAAGCTCCTTATTAGAGCGATGGTCAAGGTTTATTCCTTTCAAAATAGTCCAAGGCGTTTCAGCCTGTATAAGTAAAGACCTTCTTTAGCAGCCTTCAGCAGAAATCACTGGTGTTCCAAACACTCTCCAAAACACAGGACCATTATGGCCATTTTAAAAGGAATAAACAGTTGAGCATCTTAGAGCAGGCAGAACTGGTCTCCCTACACAATTCAAAAGTGCTGGTCATGACCTATAAAGCCTTATATGGCTTAGGTCCAGATTATTTGCAGGACCCTATCTCCCCATATGAACCTGCAAGATGCTAAGATCATCAATGGAAGGCTTTATCTCAGTCCCACCTTTTGGAACGTCCTTCCATAAGAGGCTAGGCTGGTTTTCCTTTTGCTGGCAAGCAAAAAAACATTTGTATTTACACAGGCTTTTTAATATATAATCATGACAGGGTGGTTTTTATATGGGGTGTGTGCTCTAGTTATGTTTTTTTTAATTTTAATAAATTTTATTAGTACAAAAATCAAACACAGAAACTTACACATACACAACACATACAACAGACAAGATGACCAAAATCACAAAAACATATTAACACTTAAATATGAACAACCCTTCCTCCCCTTTAAAAAAAACTATAACAAAAACAATATAATCAAAAAACAAAGCAAACAAGACAAACAAACAAAAAAAGTCCAGCCTATTCTTTAATTGATTTCCTAACTAATGTGCTTCTCCTCTGTTAATCTTCTATTTTCCTTTTTGAGCATAAATATTTACCATAATATTATGGCACATTCCTTCATTAACACCTTAATGCATATATCAATAGCAATATTATTAGTAGTAATAATAGTCTCCACTTACCTAGCTACCAATTCCGATGACATTAATATCCCCTTTTAATTTTTTTAAATAATCGATAAATGGCTTCCTATTATTTATAAGGACTTTTGTTTGTTTTCTTCTCACTAATTAATTTATCTAATTGAGACATTTCCATCACTTTTTCCAGCCACTCCAATTCTGGGTTGTTGTTTTTAACTTTTGTATATATTTTATGTAATTTTATACTGCCTTTAGTTAGATGATTTGAATTGTTTTTATTGTAAAGATCTGAAAATGGCTTTAAACCGTGAGCCGCCTCGGGTCCCTTTCTGGGAGAAAGGCTGCATACACACTAAATAAGTAAATAATATTGTATTAAGGTGCTTTCAACCTAGTCGCCCCTCCGTTCTTGCAGACTTGAGATCCATGGATTTAAATACCCATGGAGGGGCGACCTCCTTTAACTTCAATGGGGCGTGCGCTAGTGGGCACGCGCCCCATTCAAGTCTATGGACGTTATCACACGGGGAATTGCGGGGAGAAAGTGGAAATAAATGGGACAAGCGGAATACTTTAATTTACGGGATTTGTCCCGTTCCGCCTCGTCTGATAACTAAATTCGAATTTAAAAGGGGGTTAATTTGAACAAAAACCTGATCTTTTCAAATCCTCAAAAATCCCGAAAATGAAAAGATCAGGTTTTCGTTCGAATTAACCCCCTTTTAAATTCGAATGTAGTTATCAGACGAGGCGGAATGGGACAAATCCCGTAAATTAAAAACTTCCGCTCGTGCCCGTTTATTTCCACTTTCTCTTTGCGACTCCCCGTGTGATAATGTCCTATGTGGCTTGAATATTGGCTCGAATCTCCATTTTCATAGGGGTGGGTGGGTCCAGAACGTGAGAAAACGGAGGGCCGACTGTACTTTCCAGTGTTCTCTCCACTTGAACAGCAGCCTGACACACAAACATTATGGGAGCTGATCAAAGTGCAAAGCTATTTAGATGGCAATCTCACCAGTGCCAGGGGCTATGCTGGCTGATGGGACTTGCAGGCCTTTCCCTTTGGAAGAAATACACTTTGCTCAGCCCTTAGTTAAAGTCTTCCCTGACCTCCCCCTCTCTTCTTATAAACACTTCTTATGATTTTCAGAAAATCTCCTGATTTTCTGTGTGTCAGGCTGCTGCTGTTCAAGGCACCAAACCTGGGCCACTGAAAAGCAAGGAAGCCTATGAGTACTGGCTGCATTGGAAGACATGCAAGGAGTATATTTCCAGTGCAAAGTCTCCACAGTTCAAGGCTGCATCTGCGCTGCATAAATAATGCAGTTTGACACCACTTTAACTACTATGGCTCAATGCTATGCCATTATGGGGTTTGTAGTTTTCACAACTGATCAAGGACCTGAGCCTACATTTCCAAAGTCCTGTACAAAACTGTAGCTGCTACACCACACAGTCACTAAAATTACACCTGCTTAGGTTTGCGAGTTATTTAGCCTTTTCTGTCAAAGAGCACCAGTGCTACAACAAACTACAAATCCCAGGATTTTGTAGCATTGAGCCATGGCAGTTAAAAGGGTATCAACTTACATCACTTCTGAAGTGCAGATGCTGCCTGATATTACCTTAACCAGCATGGCTCCATCCTAAGAAACCCAGAATTTGTAGACGGATGAGTTGAATTCTCTGCCAGAAAGCTCTAGTCCTGTCTGCTGAACTGTAGCACTAGAGTTTTCTAGCAGAGAAGTAACTCATTGCTATTGTGTGCCTTCAAATTGTTTCTGACTTGTGGTCACCCTAAGCCAAACCTATCATGAGGTTTTCTTGGCACGTTTCCTCGGAGAGGGTTTGCCATTGCCATCCTCTGAGGCGGAGAGAGTGTGACTTGCCCAAGGTCAGCCAGTGGGTTTACAGCACCAAACTACGAATCCCAGTATTTCTTAGAATCAAGCCTTGACAGTTAAAGTGATATCAATCTGCTATAAATCTGTACGGTAGATATACTAAAGAAGGAAACATACTCACCAAGAATTCAAATCCTCCAGCAAGGGTACTGAAAATAATGGTCAGAGACAACCATCTCTGTGGGGAAAAAGGGTTTTCCTAGGAAGCAAAGCAGTCAAAATGAGAGCAGGTGAAATGTAGAATAGTAGTAGTAGTAGTATTTTACTTTCTTATATCCCACCTTTCTCCCAATATAGGGACTCAAAGGGGTGAATAGGAACCCAGAAGGGATATATCAAGAAGGTCCTGAGACAATCTGGTCCTTTAACCAATGAGAAGTTCAACAGGTAAAGATGAATTTTAAACAAACTAATAGCAATCATTTTTCTTGGTACAGAAGTGCAGGGATGGGGAAGATTTCTGCTGTTGGTTTCTGCCTGCTAGGTACCCCTCAAAAACCAAACAGCTTCTGTGCATTAAAAGCAAAGGTGGGTACCTCCAGCAAGCAAGGATTTTACTGGGGAGGTGGTATGCATCTGGAAAATAGGATATAGGAGGGAAGGTTTAGCCTCCCTTTCCCATAAAAGTCCTGATTAAAATCCTCCCCAAAGAGTCTCTAAAAGAGAAGGGAAGAAAGACAGAGGGTGCATCCACACGGCAGAAATAATCCAGTTTGACACCACTTTAACTGTAATGGCTCAGTGCTATAGAATTCAGGGAATTATAGTTTTGTGAGATATTTAGCCTTCTCTGCCAGAGCTCTCTGGCACCACAGCAAACTACAATTCTCAGAATATTACAGTACTGAGACATGGCAGTTAAAATGGTGTCAAACTGGATTATTTCTGCAGTGCAGATGCAGCCAGAAATGATGAAACAGGCAAGGCAAGCAGCAACTATCTTCAAATCCCTTACTCTCTATGAACAGCAAAACAGGAGGAAAGAAGAACAAATAAGCTTGTTTCACCAGCATGGTAAAAAAACATAGTTCTATAAGTTTGGCCATCAAAATTGAAATCATAAGTGAAGGTTGGTGAAAGAGAAAGAAACCCTTGGTTGCATTCTGGAAGTATAATTAACTGATGCCTTAATTTTCAAGTGATCTCTAGAAGGTTAAAAATATTGTCGTTTACTTCTACAAAGTTTACCTGGCCTGTTTGTTTCATTTCAGATGTGCATCTAGTCCATTCTGAATAATTAATGTGATGCCTTAATTTTATAAATTTTGTTTGGTTTGTAGATTGTACGTCATCTGGCAGGTTTTATGTCTATTTTATCTCCTGTATGTCAAGCACTGTGTAAAATTTTTACAGCGCTATATAAATAAATGTTAATAATAATAATAATAATAATAATAATACACTTTTGCTGAAAAATGTCAAACTGATCTTTTTTGTGCTGCACCAACCTATCCCTATTCTTTTCATGTTAGTTCGGCCCCAGAAACGCATGTATTAACTGAGGGATACCTGTCCAGTGGATCTCCTTCTGACTAACCATCCATAAGATTGTGCCTTGAAGTATCCTGGACACTTTGTGCCATGGGGAGATTGAAAATGCCTTAGGGGTTTGTGACATTTCCTTATGTTATCTCCTTTATCTTCTCACCAGAGCTCTTGTAGCCATTTTTTGGAAGCTAGAAATGGGGTTAGAAAGAGAGTGGCTTGCTTGAGATCATCCAGCAAGTATTTCAGGGGCGTACCTAGTATATCTGAAACCCTTTGCGGATTATTTTTTAATACCTCTCCTTCTCTTCAACAGCCTTTTCTTGTTCTGGAGGAGCTGCTGACTTGGAAGGAAAGGGAAGAGACTTGGGGCCTTTGCAGACTGCTAGAAATAGTGCAAATTGAGTCCACT